AAAAAGATCAGGCTTGGCTAGGTAGGCAGAACACAGAAAGAGGATCCTTGAGGAGGGAATCGTTGGTGGTCTGGGTAGACTGCAGCCCATTGATATCTGGGAAGTCTATCTGCCGGTGTCAGAAGTTTTTGGCTAGTTGGTAGTTTAGGAGTGTGACTATAGTTTCTTGAGAGGTTGGGGGATAAACTGTCAGGAGAGCTAAGGAGAAATCATATCCTCAGTGGATGAAAGCATAGGCAGGTCCTCAGGATCAGGACAGAAGCACTGACTCTAAGTCCAGGGTCCAATTCCCAGGACAGGGCACAAAAGCCATTGTTTCAGGATAGGGCAAAAGTTTAGTCACTACAAAGGAGCACCAGGGTGAATGTGGTCTACCAGGGAATGAGACTGAGGCTGAGTCCCACAGAGCTGGCCTGGATCTTTCCAAAATCTCCCTGCCCACAGAACTTGGAGGAAAGGGTCAAAAGAGGAAAGGACAGGTGTGTCATGTCCTGATTCCTAACTCAGACACTGTGAGCTAATAAATGCTTGTTGTTTTAAGGTGCCAAGTTTAGGGAGAGTAACTGCAACGACAGATAACGAATACAGTTCTCTTCAGGATCCTAGCTTTTACTTTTGAGGTGTCCTGGTGGGGCATATAATACGGGGTGATCTGGGTATAGATATCTTATCTTCTGTACCTTTGTTCTTGAGCTCCCTGCTGATGAAAGCTACTTTGAACTTTTTTATACTCTAAATCTTGAGCTTAGTTTACATCATCAAGAATTCTCATATAAACTCTTAGAGAGCAGTATTTGCCACTTCCTGAATTTGAATAGAGAGACTTCATTGTCTGAGTGGTTAGGGACAAGCTTACAAATCCTGACATCATAACTCTCTTCTCAGTTTTATGACAATCCAGTTGTTGGACAGCTTTCTTTGCTTATATACTAAACAATGAGCTTGAGAAATGGACAAAGGGACCAATTCCAATGCCACTGGAAACTGTTGTGAAGAGTTCCTCTTCCCAGTCAACATGCTTGTCCCAAATTTGCTGTCCCCACAATAGAGTTGTCTAAGACAGATCCAACTTTGAACCTCCCAAGCCAGATTTTCTCCTTATTGCTCTGCTTCTGTGATATCATCTTTTTAATTACCTAGACTCAATACCTGGGGCTCTCTGTCGTGTTTTTTCTCTGTGATATTTTACCTTTTCAGTACCCAAGCCCTAGGAGGTTCTGCCTGTGCAGCATCTCATATTTTTTCTTGTTGCATTGCCATGGGTACTACTCAAGGTCATAGCCATATTCCCTCCTGTTTGAAGCATTTCTGTTATCTTTTCATTTTAACCTTTTATTATGGAAATTTCAAACATTTCCAGAAGTAGACAGATTATACAAGGAATCTTCACGTACTCATTAGCTAGTTTTGACAATAACCAGGTCGTGGTCATCCTTTTCTCACCTAGACTACCAGCTACTTTCCCCTTTCCCACAGTATTGTGAAGCAAATCCCAGACATTATATAATTTCATCTGTAAATATTTCAGAGTATTAAAGCCAGAGTACTCTTTAAAAATGTAAAGATAACACCATTATTACTTACAAAAATGAAAAATACAACAATCATCTAAAGGGTTATTATTTTCATTTGAATTGTCCTGACTATTAATATGGTTGAATGACTTTTCACTTATTTCCTGGCCCTTTGGGTTGCTTTTCTGTTAGATGCTTCTGCATATCCTTTGCTCATTTATCTATTCGGTGGCTTGTCTTTGTAACTTACGAATAATAACCCCTTATTTGTAGCATGCATTTTCCATCTACCCCTTGCTGCATACCCATTCAAACCTGTTCACGCTGTTATTTTTTCCTTGACCCTTGGATGGATTCAGGACAGGTATGATGAATTTTCTGGCCCCTCATTATTTTAGAAGTCCTCCATTCAGTGCAAGTCCAAAGAATGGGGTTTTTAAGTTGCCCAATCCTATATAATTGTTAGAATTCTGAACATCACTGAAAGTGAAAAGGTACCCTTCCAACACCTAAGGCCGCTTTCAGGTGGGAAATCTTCAGAGGGAAAGGATGTGCGTTCTTGGCTTCATCTGCCTTAACTGTGCAAGCCCACCTTCCCCTTACTTGTGTTTTCTACCCCTGCCCTCTTCCAGGGATATGAGGTTGGGGCAGTGGTGGCAAGTAGGGGGTGGGGAACCTAGAGAAAATGGAAGGTGGTGTGGGCATAGATGGTAGTGCTGCTGATGGTTAGAAGTGGTGGGGTGCTGTATGTATTTTGGCAGTATAACTCACAGAATTTGTTGATAGATTGACTGCAGGATAGGAGAGAAAGAGGGGAGTCAAAGATAACCTAGTTTTGTTCTGGAATCTGTATTTTTCTTACTGTGTTAAAAGAGATGGAACATAAAATTTGCCATTTTAACCATTTTAAAGTGTACCATTCGGTGGCATTAAGTACATTAATGGTGTTGCACAATCATCACCGTTCCCCATCTCCAGAACTTTTTCATCATCCCAAACCAAAACTCTGTTTCCATTAAATAATAACTCTCCATTCCCACACTCACCTCCAATCCCTGGTGACCACCATTCTATCTTCTGTCTCCATGATTTTGACTACTCCAGATACCTCACATAAGTGGCATCATATATTATTTGTACTTTTGTGTCTGGCTTATTTCACTTAGCAGAATGTCTTCAAGGTTCATCCACATTGCAGCATGTGTCAGAATTTCATTCCTTTTTTTTTTTTAAAGATTTTTAAAAATGATTTGACAGAGAGAGATCACAAGTAGGCAGAGAGGCAGGCAGAGAGAGAGAGAGGGTGAGCAGGCTCCCCACTGAGCAGAAAGCCCGATGTGGGGCTCGATCCCAGGACCCTGAGATCATGACCTGAGCCGAAGCAGAGGCTTAACCCACTGAGCCACCCAGGCACACAGAACTTCATTCCTTTCTAAGGCAGACAACATTCCATCTTATCTATATACCACATTTTGCTGATACATTCATTCATCAACAGACATTTGAGTTGTTCCCATATCTTTGACTATTGTGTGTAATACTGTTATAAATGTAGATGTACAAATGTCTGCTTGGGTCCCTGCTTTTAGTCCTTTTGGGTATATACCTAGAAGTGGAATGGCTGGGTTGTATAGTAAATCTACGTTTATCTTTTAGGAACTGCCATAGTGTTCTCCACAGCAGCTGCACCATTTAACATTCCCATCAGCGAAGCACAAGGGCTCTAATTTCTCTACCTTCTTGCCAACACTTGTTACTTTCTGTTTTTAACATTTATAAAATATGAGCCATCTTAATGAGTATGAAGCAGTAATTCATTGTGAGTTTGACGTGCATTTCCCTAAGGATTAGTGATGTTACATGCCTTTTCATGTGTGTATCGGCCATTTGTAGAATTGGGTTGTTTATTTTTATTGTTAAGGACATGGCTTTTGGGTTTATAGAAGGTATCTAATCCCATTTTGAAATCCTTCTTTGGTAAAGATTTTTATTATTATCTAATTAAATGTTTTTCTATTTCTTTTTAGTTTTTTGTGAATGCTCTTTTTCTAGGAAATCATCCATTTCCTTCTGGTTTTCACATTTGTTGTGGAGGAGACACACGTGATTTTTTTTCTTACACAGATCATTTTCTATCCTGAATTATAGTTATTTGTGTACTTTCTATCTTCCTTATTAGATTTCAAATTTTTCAAAGAAATAGATTAAATTTTTATCCCAGGCCACATAATACATTTTCTTGAACATGACATTTCTGTAATAATTATTTTGGAAAGAATAAATACAGTAATTAATTTATTTAATGTTTATTTATTTGCCAGTGTGTCTTTATTTTTTCCTTCATGAACATAGTGAACATTTTAGTAACAAACTTCAATAGGTCAAATTGTGTATTTCACTTTATATGGTATTTACTACAATATTTGCAATACACATTTTAAAAAAATATATTTTATTTATTTATTTGACAGAGGGAGAGAGAGAGAGAGAGAGACAGACAGACAGACAGACAGCAAGAGAGGTAACAGAAGCAGGGGGAGTGGGAAAAGGAGAAGCAGAGTTCCCGCTGAGCAAGGAGCCTGATACGGGGCTCGATTCCAGGACCCTGGGATCATGACGTGAGCCAGAGGCAGAGGCTTAATGACTGAGCCACCCAGGCATCCCTGGAATACACAATTTATAGCATTTTGAATATAAATCGTTTTGCTGAGAACTGGTGTGAACTTCAGAGAGAAGTGAGGGAAGGTAGGATGATAAATGGAGGAAATGAACTAACATTTATTGAGGACTTACTATGTGCCGGTCACTACTTGAGGCATCTTGCATAGATATCTCATTTGACTCTCATCATACTCCTTTGGAATGGGCATTGCATTCCCATTTTACAGAGGAGAAAACTGAGGCTAAAGAGAAGAAACCAACTAGTAGGTCAAAGAGCCTTTGTCATTAGGAATGAGGAATTTCTATGAATTTTAGTACTAGAAGACCATAAGTAGCTTATATACAAATAATGAGGAGTCAGCCTTAGTCCTTTGTTGAGTTCTTGCTGATGTGTTACTGTGACAGCAGTGCAAGTGTGAAATGAGGGCAGTGCTAACAGAGGACTGTTAGCAGAGGACACAAAACAATCCAATTAGTCTGCAAGCACTTATTGAGTATTTATATGGTCAATGCCAATGGGTTGGTGCTTGAGGCTTATGGTGAGTTACAGATCTATTACCTGCTCCCAAAGAGTCCTTTATATTCTGTTGGGAGGCCAGGCAGACACAGGCGGAATGAAGAGAGTAATTCAAATCTGATAATTAATAAAAATGCCTCGACAGTCTAGAGAAATCATGAGTTCATGTTGAATTGCATAGTGACTGATACCCTAGAAACATGGCATCAGAGAATTTTCTAAGTGGGGAAGTCTCATTTTCTTGCTGGGACCTGATAGTCCCTTAGCTTGTCTGGGAATATTATCTCCAACTTCCTAGTTCCACGGCTTTATAAGAAGAGTCTATTTGCGTGCTCCCTAAACACCTGCTTCACCTGTTTGTTCCTCAGAGTGTAGATGAAGGGATTGAGCATCGGGGTCACCATGGTGTTGAGCAAGGCTACCACCTTGTTTTTGTCCTCTCCCTCATTGCCCTTCCCTGACCGGACATACATGAAGATGCAGCTGCCATAGAAGAGAGACATGACAATGATGTGGGAGGAGCACGTTGAGAAGGCTTTCTGCCTCTCCTTGGCTGAGGGGATGCGCAGGATGATGTGGAGGATGTGGCCATAGCAGGTGGCCGTCACGGACAACGTGCCCAGTAAACTGAAGATGGCCGTAATAAAGCCCAGGAGCTCTATCAGACTCGTGTCTGCACATATGAGCTCCAGGAGTG